TGCATGGAGATGGTTGGATGAGCAAGTACAATGTTGTGGTGGCAAAATCAGTCCCCCGTCTGACACAAATCAAGCCTTTTTTTGTTGCACACTGTTAGGCAATGTTTCCAGAGCCTCTAATAGAAAGTTGATTAATAGTCTGACGTGATAGAATGAACTCTAAATGCACTATTAGTCAACATTTTATACTGTTCAGAAAGTTGACTGACATCTAGAATGAAGTTGTCATTAATCGACATTTCACCTTTTTGGAAATGAGAAAACCACTCGTACACGAGAGTAGCGCTGCCCTTATAAGCTGTGTGCAACATCACAACAGTTTCTGTGGCATTTTTCTTGAGCAGGAAACAGTAATTCACAGCCACAAATCGGCCATCACAAAATAACAAAATTCAGTGAAACTGCTTTTCTTTTTCTTTTTTTTTCCCCCCAAAACTGCCTTTAGGGAAAAATTCACTGTGACTAGAGAGAACCTTCTCAGGCAAAGCCACTGGGTGCGCTCAGGGATGGTGGGGAAAAATACATACTACGAAAGTTCCACCCAGGGGAGCTTTGTTCTGTTTTTTTCTTGTTTTTGTTTGGGGGCGGGGGGTACCCCTCATATTGGTATGATTCCCTAAAAATGGAGGAAAAGTAAAACCAAAGTGGACTTGGAGCCTTTAATGACATACAAGTTCATCGCAAACACATGTTCATATAAGAGAGTGAATATTTTCCTATCAGAAGTATCAAGTAAACACTGGACACTGGCTGAGATAGTTTCTTACTATGGTAAATTAAAAAAAGTGAAAGTTCAGGTTCGAAGCTGGAAAGTATCATAACTCTAAAGAACTATCACAAATAAACACAAAAGCTAAATCATTCTGTTTACATTAATATTAAATTTTCATATTCCATGGAAAATACAGAGATAATCTCCTAAATAAGATTATCCCAAGGTGATAATTCCTCTAAATGTCAGGGAGAATTGAACAAATATATTTTGTGAAAATAAGTCCCATCATCCCAGGCCTCAAATTATTCTTGTGAAAGTCGAAGACAATTATAGTCAACAAGGTGTGTGTCTTCCAATATTTTCTCTAAAAATCATTAGGATCACAGAAAGATCAAACCTATTAAACACCATGCCCCTAGTATAAACTGAAGATAGTAAATGCTCAAACTTCAAAATAACGATATGTTAAAAAAAATAAAGGGAGGGAGGGAGGGAGGGAGGGGAGGGAGACGTTCCCCCTCCAGAGAGTCACTGTGAGTCAGAACGCAAGAGAGAGAGTCACTGTGAGTCAGAACGCACTCGATGGCAGTGAGAAGCATGAACACCATAGAAAGATATCCAAATACCACAGTTTGACGTTGTCTAGGACTTTATCTTGTTGGACCCACAATCAATGCTCACAGAAGCAGCAGCCAAGAAATCAAGGAAGCAGTGCATTGGGTAAATCTGCTGCACAAGACTTCTACAGAGTGCTGAAAAGCAATGTTACATTGAGGACTAATGCACACCTAACTCAAGCCATCGAACAGCCAATTGCCTCACATGCATGTGAAAGTTGGACACAGAATAAAAAGACAGAATAAGAATGGATATATTTAAATTGTGGTGCTGGAGAAGAATATTGAAAGTACTGCTAAATAAGAGAGGGCTGTTAAATAAGTACAAACAAAATCATCTTGGAAAGTATAGCCAGAGTGCTCCTCAGACTTCCAATGGCCCTACAGGACAGGATAGAACTGCACCTGTGGGTTTCTGACTGTAACTCTTCCCAGGATAGAAAATGGCCACAGAGCAGCTGGTGATTTCAAACTGCTGACCTTACACTTAGTAGCCCATGGCATAATGTATAACACCACCAGGGTATAAAGGCACTTATAAATTAACTATTAAAACAAAAAGTCAGACCTCTCTCTATTACCACAAAATATTAATTTAATTTAAATAATTAACAAAAATAAAGAGTAAAAAAATACATCTTTTAGAGAAAAATACCACAAATATAATGTAATGCATAACAACAAAATATTACAACAGAGTTGGTACCAAATTTCATTGAAAACTCCATTTGCTTTTGATTCTATTTTTCCACAAACTTTTCTTAAATCATTTTATTGGGGGCTCTTAGAGCTCTTATAGCATTCCATACATCAATTGTATCAAGCATATTTTTACATATGTTGCCATCATAATTTTCTAAACATTCACTCTCTCTATCCACAAATTTTTTGAAGCTCCCGGTATATCAGCCAGGAGGTTAAATCACCTATTTTTTAAAAATTCGTTTTGGCCACACAGCAGGTTGGCCACAAAACTATATGCTATATGTAAAAGACACACCTAAAACAATGCTAAAAATAAAGGAGTAAGCAAAGTATAACAGTCAAAAAAAAAAAAAGCAAAAATAGTAATCTTAAATCAGACAACAAAAGACTCAAGAAAACAAAGACAATCTCTTATCAATGCTGAAACTTTCAAATCATCAGAAAAGAATACTTCAGAAAATCTGTACATCAAATAAGACAGCAAACAGTTTTAAGTAGCAAGAATTACAAGAGATGCAAAAGTCATATACAATCATATACTACTAATAATAGGAGCCTTTAAAGTGCCACTCTCAGCAAAAGATCAAGTACAAAATATTAAAGAATACAGAGGATTTTTTAAATGGGATAAATAAAGTAAATCCTATACATACATATGAAACTTTATCTCTTTATATTTCACTTTTTTCTTCTCAAAATATCAGAGGAAATTAATTAAAAGTGAGGATATATGAGGTATCAGTGAGTTCTATAAATGAAAAATAACAAACGATGTACCCTAGCTAGAATAGTATGAAAC